TCTGCCCTCTCAGGTCAGCCATCTCAAAACCACAAACTCACGGAAACACAACAATGGAAATACGTTCACCAACAATAAACCCAACCATTCAACTCGATGCCGCTTGCCACACTGATTCAAGAAGGATGTGTGAGGAGACACCTAGCGGTATTTCGATGTACTCATAACCATTTGCGCGCAAAATTAAAATTTTGGAAACTTTTGGATTGCCCCATGTATTACAATACAGACTCAGGATGCCATGTCATAAAATACCTGGGTTATCATACACTGATACACGATGCATAGGCTGTGTTTAACTCACATTCACACAGAAAACATGGGAGGAATATTGACAAACCTGAAGACAATGGTGTACACAATATAATGCACAGAAATACTACAAGGTCCTACAATAAGTTTATGTGACCTACTTGTTAGTGGATGCATGGATGAATTCAAAATTTTTCTAGTATGCTGCAACTCAAAGTATGGCACAGTGCACACACTGAGCAGTCACATTATAACCCATTTAGGTAGTATAGTCTTCAAAGCATCCATGCTGATTTGGGATAGTATTCTGGGATATGTGTGGAGGGAGTGCAGATGTTCATGAAAACTGTCAGTCAAGGTAGCTGGTCTCTGGACCCAGATTTCAATTAGGGACCTCTGAAACACAAAGCAGGTGTGTTACCCACTTGACTATGATGTTCACTTCATGTTCAAATTGTAATATGTCCTGTCATATGGTTTGTGAAGTTTTATTCCATAGTGTTTGTGTTTCAGGACTGTTTTTTCTGAATATGACTTTCTCCATGAACAAGCTAAAGTTTCATTATTCAGTTAGGTGATATACTTCTGAAAATCATAAGTATAGAATATCAGTTATTTTTCTGTGTTTCAAAAAGCTGTCATAATTGGAGAATTTTTATGGGTCAAGTTTTTATTTCCACAAAGCTTAGAATATACATAAAACAATCATGCACTGTTGTCTGAGGAAAAGCAGGAAATGTCTATTTTGTATATTCTATGAAAATCAGGGGTCACTTACTTATATTTGTTAATTTTTTACTTGTGGGTTATTACTTCTGCTGAGCAGTTTTGTATAATGCTAGTGACACATAGTGACACAGTGTGGATCGTGAAGTCGCCGAGTGCAGCAGGAGTCTAGCAGTCACCGAGAGCAGTGGATGTAATTGTGATACTGCTGATGGCAGTAATTGTGAATTGTGTGAGTGTAATAGCGAGTGTTCAATAAATTCACTGCATCCAAGATGGCGTAAAGTTATTTGTCGCATGACATACACCCAACACGTGACAATATAGTAGCTTCAGTATTTAAAGTACCATCTCTGAAGTAACCATTAGGAGTTAAGGGTTAAGCTTCTGGTTTTGTCTGTCATTCATCATCCTTGTCTTTATGCTGTCATTGGAAGTAAAGCAGAATACTGCCTTGGCAGAGGATTCTTTCACTTATCTCATATGGATGTAGGTCAAGGTCAAAAGAGCATAATTTGAGATTTCAGAAAGAGATTTTTTCTTTCTTCTGTTTCAGATGATCGTATCATATCAAATAGTCTTGGATGGCTTCAGAGTCCTCCAATTCTCTGTTCTTGATTGTCTTCCCATCTCTTGATATTAAATAGCATCTGCAGTTGATACTGCACTATTAAATAATCTATAACTCAGTCAGTCTTACAAAGACTTTTTCCTGTCTTATTAACATTAATTTATTTATTATGTCTGCAAAAAATATATTTATATTGAATGATTATCATCTCTTAATGATTCCACTAGAGTGGACATCTTATGACAATAACTCCTCAGTTTTTACTTTCTCATAGACATGGTCTGTATGAGAAAATATTCTGGATTGGAAAGAAAAATGTATCTCAAAATTTTGATGGATTGACAGGTTTTTAGCACCCTTGAATGCAAAACAGTTGTCTCTGGAATACCATCTCTGTGGTGTATGGATGTGCACCTTGTTAGCATCTGAACATTTGGGCATATTTTATTCATATTTGGTATTCAAGAATTTCTCCGTCACAGGTTAGTGCCCAGTAAATATGAACATTCTGACTCCGAAAACAGGCCCATTAGATGGGCCTCAAAACACAAAATGTTTTCTTTCTCAAAAATTAGTCATACAGTTTTGATTAAATTTCAGTTACAGAGACCATCTTCCTGAACAAAAGTGGCATACACCATAATGTGAGGAAAATAATGGTACATACATTATGGGCCCGAATGTGAAATATTAATTCTGTTAAAACCAGCTTTACTGGTCAGGCAGATTTCACTGTGTGGTATTCAGCAACCACCTATGTCTACCAAGCAACAGTTGGTTTCATATGCAAGGTAATGTAGTCAGGGTCAATCATATGCGAAAGTATGTGAAATGTCTTATCACCAATATTTTTTTTCCTCCTAAGTACTCCTTTAGATATCTCCCAGTGCTTTGTACATTTTTGAAACCAATTTGATGCCCACCATTGGCTTACTGAGCCTGTCACTCTTGCACCAGTATTCTTAATAGGTCTTCCAATCTACCTTGGTGGTGTCAAAATCTATGTTCCTGGTTTACATCATCCTGTCAGGTAATTCACTACTCTGGACATTGATCTTTTCTCTCACTGTTGATGCAGCATTTTAATTTGTAATGGTGGTTGATAATGCATACATATTCACAGAAGTCATATGAAGGAACGTTTAGAGAGACAACTCTTGTGATAACAGGACCAACTCTATTGGTAGGTTGAAAATGGAGTATCTGAGGAAAATATTGATGTGGCACTGTCACAGGATGATACTTGTAAATTTAATGGGAAGAGTGTGTTGCAGCCGACAGAATGGAGCAATGCCAAGACAGGTCATATGGACACAGAAAGCTCCTGTAAGTTCAAACAGGTTGAGTGCCTTTCTGGTATGCTGTGCATGAAGCCTATTTTCTGTTCAGCGTTGTGTGGTTCTCATTTTGAAGCGGTTTTTGTTTCCAGAACTAAAAAATTTGAAGCTTTATAGCATTTGTGTGTGTTCTAAGAAGTTCTCACCAACATTTTTCTTTACTTTCACACATGGACTGTATTATGTGTCGTTTTTTACGATGTGCCCAAAAGTGTACACTGATACATTGTTGTATAGTAATAACTGCACAAGCAAGTGATTTTGATGAAAAAGTTAAGATGATATAGTAATGCTAGAAAATAGACTGGTAACACACATGGAGTGACTGAATGTGAATTATTACTTGGATTTAATGGGAAGAATGACTGGGTTCTACTACCGTAGTCAATAAGTTCGTGGACTTGCCCCAAAGCGTCGTTGCAGTGCACTACAGTTGATAGGTTTAGGCACGATATGATGACCTGTCAGTTAATCTCTCGTCACAGCAAGAGGCAGTTGTGTGCAAACAGTGTAAGCAGAACTACGGCCTCTAATGTGAACCATAGTTAAATGCAAGTGGCAGAAATTGAAAATGTGGCAGTTTGAACAAGAGGCAAACA